TGTACTATTGGTAGAATTGTTACCAGTAGTGGTAGTATTTGCATAAAACATATCGTTGCTTGTTTCCGCATGAGGATTATTCGATTGTGCTTGATGACTAATAGATGGATGAAGAGCATGTGGCGCATTAGATGAATATGGTGGATATTGATAACCAGACCAATTTTGTGTGTTTGTGTTATTTTGCGGTGTATGATAATTATAATCATTTTGATGAGAACCAATACTAGGAATTAACGGTTGTTGATGCGATGTTAATAACCGTGACGGTGTTATATTATTAACATGAGAAGTAAGAGGAGGAAACTCATGAAAAGACGATTGACGATTCATTAATACACGCATTGGCGGCATTGAAAAAGTATGTGACCCATCAGATTCATTGGGAACATGACCTTGTGAAGCATATGGAGCAAAATGAGATGCTGGATGCATCGTTGATGAGTAATTAGAATAAGGCGAAGGAATACAAGAATTGGATGCTTCCATTTCCATCTTTATACGAGAAGGAGAAAAATCCATATTTGATAGTCTTGCGGGACTCACGGTACCATCACCTGGCTTTGGGAGAATAGCATGTGGTGAGGCAGAAGATTGTTTTCCATATGTCATACCATCTAATTCTAATAGATAATATAATTTTGATCACCAAATTTTTAATTTTTTTATGATAATTTTATTAATAAAATTATTATTAGTAATTAATTATTATAATTTATATTTTTAATTTATTTTAATTTATTAAAAAAATATATATTTTTTTTACCTTGTTCATAATTTGATTCAACAACAGGAGGTATTCTAAAATTTTGCTTTAACAAGAATTCTGGAGAAATTTCGAGAATGGCTAAGTTTGGCATTGAAGATGGAGTCTTGAGCTTACCAGCCAATACATCCTCTTTTGTATAATAACTAATCATATGTTGGCTAACACCGTTAACCATGATTGACATTGTTTTTTTAATTAAACCACCTTTTTTAAAACGATAAGTATTTGTTAAACTGCCAACTAATGCGCGTTCTTTATTTTTTTCAGATTGTGATTCCATATCAACACTATCACTTCTTTGACGTTCTACTGGAGAAGAATCTTTTTTTCCAGTAGGAGGACGTTTATCTAATTCTCGATAAATAAGAAAATTTCCAAGAATTCTTGATGGGCTCCATACTAAACCATCAGTCCAACGTTTTATTCCGGATTCGCGTTCGTCAAATACAAACACACTTCCTGATGTTATGATCTTGCGCTCTTTCTCTTGAAGCCGTCGACATATCTTTGTAAGGCAACCTTTTCTACATGCTTCAAATATAAGAAGTGTGTCCTGTGTCGTTTCGATATAACCATGAAATGTTGGTTCGATACTCATAATTACTATCGTTAATAAAAAAAATTGTCAATTATTTACTTTTGACAGGAACAAGAGAAAAATATTATTGACGCGACTTGATGGAAAGCGAGGATGAAATAAATTATTGGAACAGAAAAGAAATTTTTATGTTTAAATTTTTCATCCAGGAAATAAACGATTTGAGGTTCCTTACTCCGGCTTCTGAGGGAAGGGGGTTGTTTTTATATGTGTACAGCATACATAACAGGTTTGTGTGACGGATTTTTTTTTTTTTTTTGGGATGTTTTCTTTATTATTGAGTTATATTTGTTTATAGTATTTTGACTAACCGTTTATATATATGTGATTATACAAAGAAAAGTATAATAAAATCCGTTTATTTTTTTATATATGCGTGATTGACATTTTACGCATATACCACCTATAAAAATGTGATTTTATAACAGGAAAAATTGAAAGGCGGGGTATAAAAAAAAAGGATAATTAATAGTCCGTTAATAGAAACTTTCAAATCATCTCGCAGATGTAAAACGGGAGAAAGCGTGACAAAATGATAAAATTAAGAAACTTTTGATTAC